TGAGAGATCAATCCTACAGGAAGAAGATAAGATCTATCTACTTTGGAAAAATATCAAAACAATCAAACCTAGTAATAAGCTCAATTACAAGAAGCTAGAATTATTCAAAATCTTGCAATAGATTTTCTTAGTTAATTACGAATTAGCATTACTTCATGGAATAAGAATATACTCGATTTTTCATATCTTACTACTGGAATTAGCAGCACAGGAAATACTAACAGATAATACAGCAGAAGCAGAAAACAATGAATCAGAATATAAAGTAGAGAAGATTCTTAAGCATAGAAGCATAAACAGTACAAGAGAATACCTTATCAAATGAAAAGACTACTCAGCAAGCAAAAACTCATGAAAACTACGAAAGAACATCGAGAACGCTCAGGAAAAGATAGCTGAATATTGGAAAAGAAAAGCTAGCACCTAAGACAACTGCTCTGCCCCAAACCAAAACCCAGAAGCCTCAGAACAGAAATCAGACGCTGCAATCCCATCTAAAACATTATCTCAATTCATCACATTAAGAGCATCTCAAGACTGAGCCTCAACCACAGCCTCAGATTCAGCAGCACGCTAAGCATCCTCCTCCCAACGCTCCTCCTTCTCCAGCTTGTTCAGAAAATGCAGATCCTAACTAACCATCTTTACGCTATAATCATGCAGAGAACGTTTCTGTTTCCGCAAATATATCAAACGAGCTATTGCTTCGCTTAACTTAAACTAAAGCTTAAGAAGAACTTTCTCTATATCCAACTTCTTCCAATCTAAATAACTAAGCTTAGTAATAATACAAGATATTATTAGAGGGATTAGAAAGCAAATTAAAAAAAAAAAAAAAAAAAAAAAAAAAAAAAATAACTCAGAAAAGAAGCAAAATCTATAAGCATTTATCAGAATACTGGAATCATTGCAGAAACAATTCTAGCAAATACAATAGAAATATCTTTTAATATCTTCTATTATCTTATACTCCAATCCCTTTGAAATATAGAAAGAATAAAGTATAACTTCAAAATCTTAAAGATTAATAATTAGAAAAAGCTAAAAGCATTATTCGGATTTTCAAGAAAGAAACTTTTCAATTCTATTTAATATCTTGATTAGAAAGATATAATTATATATATAAATAACTTGCTAGAATATTTATAGAAGATTATTAGAAATAATAATTAATAAGAAAAAGATAATATTATAATCTATTTAATATATAGATTACAAAATAAGCTCTGCTAATAAGAAATTAGATATTATAATTCAATATCGAATAATTATTAGGAATTATATAAGCAAGAGTTAGAATTGAATCATAATAATATAAATAAGCTGCTTACTGAATTATTATAATATAGATTATGAATTATTATAATACAGATTATAAATTATAGTAAGCTAGATAAGCTATAATAAAGAGCTGAATATATAAGAATATATTCATTTCTATTAAATAGATCTTGTATATAGCTCTTCAGTTATTAATCTAAGTATTCAGTCTTATATACTAAGTAGCTTCAAAAGCAGTGAATATTTGCTTTGCTTATCAGAACTTGTATAGTTCCGTATTCAAGAACTTAATATTTTGATACCGCTCTTATTAGTATAAACCTTCTTGTATACTTAGGAATCTTTGGATTGCTGCAGTGCTTATTACATTAAGTATAAGATTATAAAATAAAAATAATTTGAAAATTTTATAATATTTATAAATATAGCTATTAGAATAAATAATTATTTCTATAAATAATAAATAAAAAGATTTAAAAAAAAGAAAGCTAATTTATATAATAATTATAGCTAAATATTAGCAAAAAGTTTCAATTTCAAAGCTAGAATAAAAGCTTTTAGCAGAATATAATATAGAATGAATATTAGAAATAGCGCTTTCGCTAAGATATCTTTGAAGCACTAGCAGATTATATGCTACTTTTTCTTATATAGCTAATATATTGCTTTCTCAATTCTATTTCTATACTTAGCAAGAATTAGTCTTAATACAATTAGAAATCTATTAGCTTTCTCTTCAAGCTTGTTTCCTGCTTATATTATTATAATTTCGCTTAGCTTTCATACTAGGTATCTGATAATGAAAGTATTTATATTAAATTTATAAAATTAAATATAATTATAAGAAAGATATATAATTGAAATTATTATAATTATAATAAATTAAGCTATATTATATAAGATTATTGCTAGCTTAAGAAGCTTTAATAATAAAAGCTTATTTCTAAAGAATAATAGCTTAATATAATGCAAGTATAATAATTTAATTAGCTAAGCAAAAATATTTTCTTAGAGCAAGTATTAAATTCTATTAATTATAAAAATCTTAGCTAAATATTCTGCTATAATAATAACTACTTAATATATCTCTTAAATAAGAAAAGCTTAGAATAGTTTCTAAAAATATTATAAAAAAAGATTAAGCAGCTAGCAATAGAAAGAAAGAAACTAATTTATAATACAATTCTGAATAATAGCAATTCAGATTACTTTAGTATTATTAAGAAGAAATTAGCTTTTAGAAAGAATAATAAAGAAAAATATCTCTTAAAATATTATAAATAGCAATAAACAAAATAATTCTTATAAGCATTTAAAGAAATATTTCTTAATAAGCAATCAAATAGTTTATTAAAGCTTATTAATAGTTTATTAAAGCTTGCTAGCTTTAGCAAAACAAACTTAGCAATACTTTATAATATATTCAATTATACTAGCATATTTCATTATATTTTTATATATAATACAGAATATATAATATATAAATTCAGCTTTAGAGAATTCTTTATCTATATTTCTATTTATAATATAGAATCAATTTAGTATAAAGATTTCAGAATTAATTATATATACTAAGATTATTATAAAACTGCTTGAATCTTATATATTAGCTATAGTTGCAAGCTATACTTTTCGAAAAAGATTAAATATAAATAATTTCTAGTATGAAAATAGAGATAAATTATTTAAGTTATTGAGAAATCTAGCATTAGATTCAGAGAAATTCTTGAAATAAAGCAAAATAATATATATATTAAGCTATTAATAAATAACTCTTGAGATTGCATTAATAGCAAAACAAAATAATAGCAGTATTAGATAATTAATTATATTATTCATATAAGTAATAAAGTTTGCAACTAATATAATAAGCAAAAAGCTAGAAAGAGATATTAGTATAAATAGCAATAAGCTAGAAAGCTTGCTTAGAAAGTAGTATAATAAGCTTAGATTTCAAAAGAGAAAGATTATTTATAATAAAATTATAAATAATTAGATATTATAACTCATTCAGCATGCAGATTATAAAGCAAGCTCTGCTAATAAGAAACTAAATATTGCAATCTAATTATTATAACTCATTCAACATGCAGATTACAGAACAGGCTCCGCTAAACAAAGAACTAAGTGTTGCAACTCAACATCGAACAACTAGCAGGGATTATATAATTCAGGATAAGGATTATAGCAGAGATGAATCATTAAATTATTAGAATGATTTAATGAGCCTGGATTACTTGAATAGTTAATAATCCAAAGTAAGCTATACTGAAGAGCTGAATATATAAGAATATATTCATTATTACTAGATAAATCACTAGAATATAGCTCTTTAATTATTAATCTAAATATTCATTTATTATATATTTGAATAGCTTTAAAAGCAAATAATCAGCACTTGCATAAATTATAATCATACTCTGTATTCAGTAGATTCTACTTTGATACTGCTCTTATTAGCATAAACTCTTTATATATTTTAGATCTTTGAATATTGCAGTATATTTATTACATTTTGATAATTCTTATTCAAGAATAATTCAGTATTATTCCCTTGAATAATACGGAATATAATAGCTTTAGAAATCCCTTCTTCATTCTTATATTAATTCATATAAAAGAAGCTAGTTAACTAGATTCGCTTCTTTTTTCAGCATATTAAAGAACTTTAGCTAAGTATTATAAGTACTGCAGCAATCCGAAGATTCTTAAGTATACAAAGGGGTTTATGCTAACAAGAGCGATATTAAAGTATCAAGTTCTTGAATACAGAACTATACAAGTCTTAATAAGCAATACAAATATTCATTGCTTTTAAAGCTACTTAATATATAAAACTGAATACTTAGATTAATAACTGAAGAGCTATATACAAGATCTATTTAATAGAAATAAATATATTCTTATATATTCAGCTCTTTATTATAGCTTACTTAGCTTATTATAATTTGTAATCTATATTATAATAATCTGTAATTTGTATTATAATGATTCAATAAGCAGCTTACTTATATTATTATAATCCAATTCTAACTCTTGCTTATATAATTCCTAATAATTATTCAATATTGAATTATAATACTTAATTTCTTATTAGCAAAGCTTATTTTGTAATCTATATATTGAATAAATTATAATATTATCTTTCTTTTATTAATTATTATTTCTAATAATCTTTCATAAATATTCTAGCAAGTTATTTGTATATATAATTATGCTTTTCTAATCAAAATATTGAATAGAATCGAAAAATTCCTTTTTTGAAAATTCGAATAATACTTTCAGCTTTCTCTAACTATTAATCTCCAAGATTTTGAAATTATATCTTGTTCTTTCTGTATTTCGAAGAGATTAGAATATAAGATAATAAAAGATATTTAAAGATATTCCTATTGTATTTGCTAGGATTGTTTTTGCAATAATTCCAGTATTTTGGTAAATACTTATAGGTTTTAATTCTTTTTTGAAATATTTTTTTTTTTTTTTTTTTTTTTTTTTTTTTTTTTATTTGCCTTCTAATCCCTCTAATAGTATTTCATATTACTACTAAGCTTGATTGTTTAGATTGGAAGGAGTTGGATATAGAGAAAGTTCTTCTTGAGCTTTAGTTTAAATTGAGCAAGGCAATAGCTTGTTTGATACATTTGCAGAAACAGAAACGTTCTCTATATAATCATAGCGCAAAGATGGTTAGTTAGGATCTGCATTCTCTGGATGAGCTAGAGAAGAAGGAGCATCAGGAGAAGAATGTTCAGCATGCTGCCGAATCTGAAGCTGTAGTTAAGCTTGTTGCTGAGTTTGATTGTTTTGATGTTTTTCCGAAGTAGATAAACTTTATCTCCCTTTTGTAAGATTAATCTCTTAATTCTTTTGGAATTTGCATACTGCATTATTTGTTCTTGAATGAATTATAATTCTGATCAGAATTCTTCCTAAACTTTCTTAATCTTCTTAACTCTTTTATCTGCAGCTTCTGCATCTGCTCTTAGCAATGCTTCATAATAAGCTATTAAATTATATTTATAGAATATGAAGAATAATAACTTCTTTATTATGCTTGTATCTGCACTATTATAAGCAAATTGTATAAGAAGTAATAGATTAATTCAGTTATTCTGTTTCTGATTGATATAATATCAAAGATACTATTTAACAACTTGATTTATTCTTTCTATCTATTCATTTATTTACAAATAAAATGCTATAAATATTTTGTAATATATTCCAAGCTATTTCATAAATAAAGTTCAAAACTTTAAGTTAAACTTTCTATCTTTATTAGAAATTACTTTCTCTAGCATATTATAATTAGCAATAATTATTCTGAGGAATGTATATACAAATTCTTCTGCTGTATTGCTTTTCTTATAAGAAAGAAAATAAGCATATTTGCTTAATTTGCAAACTATTATTAGAATGCTATTATATTACACTTTAGTTAAGAATTCTTATAAGAGAAATAGCTTGATAATGAAATCTAGATTAATAAATTGCTAAACAGTTATAAGTACTGGTAAGAAGTGCAGTAGTCTGTAAAGCTTATATTTTTCTGCTTTATTCTTCTTACAGCTATTGCATTATTATAGAATACTTTCAATTCTTTTTCTGAAATCTGATAAATTCCAGTATCTTTTGATGCATTCATAGATTGCTCTAACTCTCTAGTGCTTGTATGCTAGTATACTATATATATTCTTAATATAGTTGTTTTATTTATCTGAAGTTATTGATTCTGAATTCTTCTCTGAGAATCCAATTCTGAAGGTAGCATTCAGTTCTCTGTATACATTAATGAGATTTTCTAACTTATCTTGAGCGAAGATGTTCTATATATCCGAGAAATCTGCATTTCAATAGTCTGATTATCTGCTAAGAGTATCTGCTTATTCGTTTTCTAAGCTTTTACAATGTACAATTTTAAAGTCGAATTGTAAGAGGAATTCTGCTTATCTAATTTATTGCTTATTCAAAACTTTAATTATTATAAATATAGTTAGATTCTTATAATCCGAGTAAACTATAATTGAGTATTATATGCTAATAAGATAATATTGCTACTTTTTGAAAGCTTTTATTATTGCTATGAGTTTCTAATTAGAGATTCTATAGTTGATTTCCAAGCTATTTAATTTCTTTGAAAAGTTGCTTATAATTCTTAAATACTCTTAGTTATCTTACTAGCTAAGTTATTCTCTGAATGCATATTCTAATGCATTGGTTTCAATTTTAAAGAGTTTATAGAGATCTGCTTTATACAGAATTGGTTCTAAGATAACATGCTTAATAATCTTCTCGAAAGCTTTTTATATCTTGAAAGTTTATTCGAAGAGCTGCTCCTTCTTAATAAGATTTGTAAGAGAATATATAATCCAGCTATAGTTTCTAATAAACTGCTTGTAAAAATTAATATATCTAAGGAAAGATTTAATATCTCTAATATTTCTAGGAACTAGCTAATTTCTAATAGCTTCTATCTTATCTTTCTGTAGCTTAATGTATTCTAGCTTGATTGTGAATCCGAGATAGTTAGCTTTTTGTATATAAAAATGATTCTTTGCAGATTTTATAAGGAGTTTTGCATCTTGAAGCATTTGCAATATTATTTTCACATATTTCTTATATTCTTCAAGTATTCGAGAGTAGATAAGAATATTATTGAGATAAGCAATGATAAACTAATCCAGATGCTTGCATAGAATATGATTAATTATTTTCTGGAATAAAGCTAGAGTATTTGTTAAACTAAAGAGTATAATCAAATATTTATAATATTTATAGCATATTCTAAAAGCAGTTTTCCATTCTTTTTCTTTTTTTATTCTAATCAGATTATAAGCTCTTTTCAGATTCAGAACTGTAAACCACTATACTTCTTGCAATCTATCTTATAGTTTCTTAATAAATAATAATAAATATTAATTCTTGATTATAATATTATTAAATTACTTATAATTAATATATAGCTTAAGCTTGCTATTCTTCTTAAATACAAACAGAATGGAATATTCTGCTGATAATTGCAATAATTATATGTATTCTTTCTTAAGATTCTCATTAAGATACTTCTGAAGTGCTTCTAGCTATATTTTATTTAGTTTATAGATAGAAAAGAATTTGAGCTATTTCTCTTCTTATAGCAGAATCTTATAGTTATACAAGCTATATTCTAGTAATCCTGTATTCAATTCTTCTTAGAACAGTTTCTTGAATTTGTAATATTCTCGTAGTATATTTGCAAATATTGATTCTGATTCTTATACTATTTCTGCTACTTGGAGAAATAGTAAATACTGTTGAGTATGCTTCTTTTCGTTTGTTGTTTTTGGTAATATTTTTGAAAGCTTTAAGCATTCGCTCCGGGCTGAACTGAGCGCTCAAGAGCTTGATTTCGAGGTTTCTCCCGTATGATTTTACAATTCACATTCTAAAGCTTTTCCTTATCACTCCGAAGCGAACTAACTTGCTAAGAGCCTTGCTTTCATTGTTTTGCTAACCTATTAGCGCTTTAGCACTGTTTAAGTTTGCTTATCACTAGATTTTTCTTCTTGAACTGCTAGTCCTGCTAACTTGGAAGTATATATAAAATCGTATAAAGCTTCTTTTTCTAAGTATTCTTCAATTACTAGCTTCGATCTTGCGCTATTGATTATAACTATCTCTCTAAATATAGCTTGTTTTCATGAAATCTGGCTAGTAATCCAATCAATTCGAGAATTGTGCTCCTTGAGCTATAAAAGCTCTATAATCAGCTTATGCTGTGCTATATTTGTAATATTAAAGGAAGCCTTAACTACATATTTTTGGATTAAAACAGATAGATAATCAGTCTTCTTATCGATTACTTCTTGATTATATATAACAAGTTGTTCTTTCATAGTACTGAGAGTATATAAGCATCTTTTCCATCTCTATTGTAGTTGTATCTGATTAATGATGTATGGAGATATAAAGTTTCCCTGAGCACTACTATTCAATAATACGCTATACTTATATTCTTGAATATATATATCGAACTTAATATAAGCATAATCTGTTTTAGAAGCTTTATATAGAAACTGTTCTAATCTGATTATTTATAATTCCTTTATAAGCAATCCTATTCTTTTGAATTCATTGAGAACTGCTTATTCTTCTAAGCTTGCTTTGCTGCTTCTTAAGCAAGCTTCTTAGCTTGCTTTTGCTTATATTATTATTATTTCTAATCTTTCTTCTATTAATACTAGTTGCAAACTTTATTATTAATATAAATTATACAGAATATTGTTTTGTACTGCTATTATTTTACTTTCTTGTTTATATATTGTATAAAGCAGTTATTTAATAGTTCGATATATGCATTATGATGCTATCTATTAAGAATCTTTCTGAAGCAGAGTTCCTATTCTTCAACAGCTTAAAGGATTTATTCTGATTCTCTAATAGAAAACTATTCGTATTATATCTTATTTGAGAAATGCGCTCTGTAGCTATGATAGATACAGGAAATTCAAGCTAGTTTGTAGTATAGATTGTAAAGTAAGCTAACTCGAGAGTTCTTATCTTTTTATGCTTTGATGTTCTGCAAGAGAATATAAATAAAAAGCTTTTCTAGTTCTATTCTATAAACGAAATATTCAATTCATATTGTTTTCTTATTCTATCCAATACTGAAGAAAAATCTTTCTGTAAGCTTCTTGGATTTATTATTTATAAGAAACTCTAGTAAATTATTAGATTATTTATTTTAGCTTAATCTTTCTATTGCTTAAGAAGTATTTTCAGTATTATTTAAGTATTTATACTAATAACTAAGAGGATATTATTCTTTATTCATTTCTCTAGTTATAGTATCTAATGCAGATAATAAGAAATAGCAAAGAGTATTATTATTAAGCTCTTTCTTCAGCGCTTGAATGCTTTATTCAGTAATATCAGAGTAATTCGAATTATTGCTGCTTGTAGTTATGCTGAGCATATATCCTTGCTCTGCTATTGCTATCTGCTTATAATGCTTAGATTTCTGAGGAAATCATTTTAAATCTTTCTTATTCAAGAAATATATTAAGCAGTTATTATTATAGCAGAATATTCAGCTAAGACTTCTATAATTAATAGAATCCAATACTTGCTTCAAGAGAGTATTTTTGCTCAATTGATTAGATTCCTATTATCAAGCAATATTCATCTGATATTCTTTCTAAACTAATTGCTATTTATTCTTTCGGAATTAATAGCAATTACAAGCAATGTATTCTTATTTATTATAATTATAGCAAATAATGCTATTCCTCTTATTATACTGCTTGTTAGCAGTATCGAGTTTTATGAAACTAGCATATATAATGCTGCTTTGAGCTGTATTGCTATATTAACTACTATTCTTATTTTGAAATTTCTTGCTTATATTAGCTAGAAACTTCTAAGTTTAGCTTTCTTCTTTCTTGGATTTCTTTATCTATTATTCATACAGATAATTATTGATATAAATAGCTTGATTGGAGAATATTGCGAAGTTTTCCAGCTAATTCTGCTTAGAGATTTCATTTTTAATATTATTCTTAAATCTCTTATAATAGTATTCTATAAGATTCTTATCTTCCTATAGAAGTTTTGCTAAGAATTGCTTAAATCTAATTATATAAGCAGAAGCTGATTTAGTTTGCTTGAGATTCATGAGCTGCTAAGCTATAATGCATTCTTTGTTGAGATTATCAAAGATTTTCTTGAAAGCTTTTTCAAAGCTTTCAAAAGAATCAAATATATTCTTAGTATTCTGGGTATGCATATCGGGATTATTCTGATACTCCAAGTAGTTGCATAGAGAAAGCTTGTATTAGATAAGAGCATTCTTTTCGAAATGAGTTCTTGCAAGAATAACTTTTTTAGATTTCTTAGTAAACTAAATCTTATAATACAGAAAATACGCTCT